CATCAAATGAGAAGAGCAGAAAGTGTGACACCCTACCCAGAGAGACAGTGAGGCCAGGCGTGGAGACAGAGATGATGGCGTGGACAGATGGAGTGGCTGGGAACACAGGACTCAGGGAGGGGGAGGAGCTGTTTGCTGATAGCCAGTGGGGACGGGCCTGTGGGGGGTATCCTTTGGTTATGTGATGATGCATAGAGGGGATAATAATTATTGCAATGAAATTAAATACAATAGGAAGAATGTGAAGCTAAAGTGGGACAGAGGTAAATAACGATGTCTGCACAACCTTGGAACAACAGGGCTCTGGGATACAGAGATTGAGACATGGTTGGAATGGGGAAAAGGGGGGAAATAATGTTAAGATGTTTGACTGTCTTTTGAATCTTGGTTTCCCTGGTATACCACCATAAAATAGGCACTTGAGGGGGAGAGAAAGGAATAGCCAGAAATACTGCCATTGAAAGCTTATAAGTCTGTCTTCTGCCTAGAACCGATTGGAATACCGAAAATGGGGCTACAACATGCCCAGTGAAGGAGGCTTCCTGCGGAGCCTCTGCATTACATAAAACCATAGGTGGAATCCAGAATCTTCTGAGGGGAAATTTCCACTTGAAGGACAAGCAGACCAGCCTGGAGTGGCCAGAACAGAAGATACTTCCTGAAAGAAACACTGACAGGAAAAATACAAAACAATAACGGCAGTCCAACTGACTACTACAAGAACAAGCAAGTTGCTCACCCAGGAGACATCAAGGCAAATGGTCAGGTTCCCCTCAGGGCAAACCCCCTTCTAAGACTAAGACTCAATGGGAATATGCTGATTGGTGACCATGTTTGTCACCGATAAAGGGAAGTGAGGGAAAAGCAGCAATGAAGCTGCGAGCTGAGCCCTACAACATTCAATAGACTCCTGTGAACCCAGATGGAGACCTTGTGGACCAGCAGTGTGTCAAGTCCAGGGGACTCTTGGACCCAGAGTCAGTGACATAGCCACAGAGGACTAGAGTGGAGAGTGAAACGTCCAGATGATAAGAAGAGAGGGCACATGCATAAGAACACCCACACTTGCAGATAATACCCACTTGACCTGGCTTCAATGGCTGGATGATCAGAGCTCAACCAGAAGAAGAAAGAAGAGGGAAAAAAGAATAATCTGATACAACTTGATGAACTTGACCTACACCTATGGAAGCAGTGGCTCAAAAGAGGAAACAAATCTTTGCAGCGAGCATCATTCCCATCCCCTGCACACACGGAAAGGACAGGGATGGGCAACTTGGACATTGGCTACCCAGAATGGGGGTGCTACATGGCTACAAAGGCAAGAAGTGACTGGCTTACAAGCTTTCAAGAGGGAAATGAGATCCAGAAGGCGTGGAGCAAGGTAGAATCTCCATTCAGTATCCATTCTGTCTAGTCCGGGCTGACGAAAGGAGATGTGGATAAGTCTCTTGCGATTCAATAGCAAATAATTGTTATCAGGACTGATTATAAGGGCTGGAAATGTAAAGGTAGACGTTTTGTGGCAAAGGGAGGGGAGTGATTAACTTTGCAGTCTAGGAGTGGAGGTCCCTGGGACCATCAAGGGAAAAGAGCAGAGAACGGAACCTTACCCAGAGAAGCGGTGATGCCAGGGATGGAGGCAGAGATGATGATGTGGGGAGATGGAGAGGCTGTGTGTGGACGAATGGAGGGGCAGGACCTTTGGTTGGTGGATGATGCATGGAGGGGACTGTAACCATGGCAAGGAAACAATATACGACGGGATCAATGTGACGTTAACGTCCTCCCATGTGAACTATCACATAATTCACAATAAAGCATAGAAAAAAAAAATTACTATGTAGCAGTCCTACTCTGTCCTTGATTTGGAATAGATTCTACGGCAATGGGCATTAATGGGATATAGATTTATTACGTACAATTCTGAAGGTGGTAAAAATGGAAGGAAAGAGAAATCTTTTAAGCTCTCAGCACCCAGCAGGAAGCACTGCTATCGTTCTGTGGCAGCAGCAGGTGTCCCAGGGACCAGGTACACAGGCGGCGGCTCTGGAAGACGCCCACCTCCCCACCCTCACCCCGTGAAGTAGCTGGGTGGATTGGGGCTGAGGGTGGGGAAGAATGGCATGAAAATGGAGCAGGGTCAAGGGGAGTGGCAGCTTTGAAGGCAGGCACTCCAAGGTCTCAGCTGGGCTCCGGTGGGGCATGGCTGTAGGAGTCTGGGTGGTGTACTTATAGCAGATCCACGTCCCAGCTTCCCCTGGGCTTCGCCGCACTTTTCATTCCTTTGTCTTTAATAACCACAGGCTGCACTTATGCAAAGCTATGGCTGAGACCTGTGGCCTAGTGCTCCTAACTTCAAGGTCAGCACTTTGAAACTACCAAGTGTTTCGCAAGAGAAAGATGAAGCTTTCTGCTCCCGTGGAAACCCTATATAGGGTCCCTATGAGTTGGAATTGACTACACAGCACACAACCACCACCAAGCATATATCATCATGGTTGTGACCCACAACATGCTGGGGGGGGGTGTGAGGGTGTTCCCTGGAAGGTGGGTGACATCCAAGTTAGGCCTTTAAAGAAACCAAAGGTGGCTGAGAATAGCAGGAGGGGGCGGGCCTTCCAGGAAGACAGAGCACTGAGCCCCACCCAAGCGTGGAGAGCACGAATGTGCATGCGGTTCTGTGGCCTGTCTATACTCTGCTGAGAGGCAGGAGGGGCGGCTGGGACGAGTCTGAGGAGGGTACTCAGTTGCACCTGTTTCTCTCCCCTTTGGTTGCCTGCTCCACCTCTCTTCTTCCCTTTCACGTTTATCCTCACTCTCAGCCTCGCTCACCTAGGAGCCATCATCTCTTTAGTTCCGGACCACCCCACTCTTCATTTTCACCTGTGACTGTATTTGCTGCCTGCGACAAGGCCACCAACCAGAGACTTGCTCCTCCCCACTGCCTGGGGCTACTGCCTTCTTTCAAATGAACTCTTAAATCCCAGCAACACAAACAAGGAGAGGGAAAAAAACCAACAAAACATACCCCAGAGATGATGTACCATATAGAGCTGCCCGATCTGAGAGAAGAATCCACCGACCGCTTCACCATTGTCCTGCCGGAAGCGAATGGCACGGGCCCTGAAAGAGAGCAAAGCTCAGTGATTGAATTGTTGTGAAGTGACTTTGAGTCGGTTCCGACTCATAGTGACCCTGTATAGGGTTTCCAAGGAGCGGCTGGAGGGTTTGAACTGCAGGCCTTGTGGTTAGCAGCCAGTGCTTCTCCTATAGCGCCACATACGTGAGGAAAGAGCCAGCAGGCGGCATTTCCTTTACAATCAGGGCAGACCATCCAGAAGGAAGTCTGCTTGCTTTTTTTCACTAACCAAACTTTTTTTCAGTAATCTAAAGCTACTGCAATGTGTGTAAAATGGAGAGATACCTACTTGTAACTGCATTACTGTTGGGGCAGTGAAAAGTCCCTAAGGATGACTGCTATGGATTAAATCACCAGCATGAAGGTACACGTGCCAATTCCAAGCCATGGAAAATGGTGGGAGGACTCTGGGTGGTTACCAGGAGGAGGAGGACATGAGGGGAGGTCACCATGGTACCTCTCAGTAATCTCCATGCCATGGACTTCTCAGTGAATCTGTATCAACAATGCCCAGGCTCTAGCCTGAAGGTCCTATCTCATCAGTGTCCTGGAGCTGACAGGACTTGGGAAGATGATTCACTCTAATTCGTTCATGAGCAACAGAGACCTAGGAATGAGAATACCAACCTACTACTGTCTACAGTAAGAGACATGACTCTCAGGTGACAAGATGCTCCAGTGTCTTGGCTGGCACATTCTCTTCTTGGAGGCAAACATCTCGGGCAATGAATTCGAACATCTCAAAGGGGCGTGTGGAACAAGACCAAGGGCAAGTGCCAGGGATAAAGCCCATCTCCCCAAGACCACTCTGCCTCCTCTGCTCTTGTCTGCCAAGAGCTCAGCAAGAGAGTAACACAGCTTTCAACTTCCTGTGGCCCAAGGGAGGATTCTCTTGCTATGGCCCCATGAGTTACCCATACACAATATTACTTTTTTTTAACCTTATATTTAGAATTATGAGCTCATTATCATCACAAAAATTACAAATCAAATTGGCAAATTACTGAAATTAAACAAATCACTTTCACGTGCACTTTAATTCAGAAGAAAAAAAACCAAACTGTCCTTTGGTGATTGTGATAAATGTTGAAGATTATTCATGTCATTCTGAATTTTTCTAATTCAGGGAAGATAGGCAAAGAAAACATACTTGCCGCAGCCTGGTAATAATCAGAAGCATGTACTGAAGTGGCGATCACCATCTTAAAGTTACCTATGTGCCAAAATATGAATCGAATGCTGAACTGACTTTGGAAATAATAAAGTAACTGAAGAGAAACTTTGACGCTTATTTCGGGATTCCTAATTGTTGTTGTTAAATGCTGTCAAGTCAGTTCTGACTCACAGTAACCCTGTGAAGGATTTCCAAGGAGCGGCTGGTGGGTTTGAACCGCTTAACTTATGGTTAGAATCCAGTACTTATTCTACAGCGCCATACCAGGACTACAAATCCAAATGCAAAATCCAACCAACGAGTGATCTGGGGGTAACTAAACTATTACAGTGAGAGGCCAAAGTAGGGAAAGAAAACCATAAACAAAAATACAATGGTGCTTAACAGTCACATACATATTTCTTAGTTTTCAAATTAAATGAAATTCTAACATGTATTTCTAGTCCAAGGAAAAAAGAAAAGATTAGAAGTAAAAATCTCTCAACAATTTTTGGACATGGAAAAAAAAAATCTTAGAAATCATCTAGTCCAAAGCAAGGGATTTCATAATCAAAACATAAGAACATATGTAAGTTGAAAAGTATGTAAAAGTCATAGGTTCTTATTTCAAAATAAAGCAATCAAGGGTCCGAGCTGCAAAGGAACTGACATCCATGGCTCTTCCTCAGCACCACACTGCCTCCCCTTTGACTTTGTAGAACAGCTTCAAGAAATGACAGTTTACAAGATGCAAATAGCACACTTCCAAAACATATATCACCTCAAAGATATACAAAAAGCCCAAAGGAAAAAGACCCAAAGTATAGATAATGTTAAAAATTCCAAAAGAAGAACAGTGGTGGTTATGTGCCGTGGAGTAGTTTCCGACTCACAGCGATCTTCTATAGGATTTCTGAGACTGTGAATCTTTATGGGAGCAGAAAGCTTCATCTTTCTCCTGCCAAGTGGCTGGCAGATTCAAACTACTGACCTTGCAGTTAACAGCTCAGCTTGTAATCTACTTTGCTACCAGAGCTCCTTAAAAGAATAGGTCTGTTCAAAATCTATTGTTATATTTTTATATTTATGTGATAGTTAAGGTTTTGTGTGAACTTGACTGGATGGGGCTTTTCAGTGGTCACACAACCAGCAGTGGAGATGTAATTTCTCATGATGAAATCTCATGCAATGCAATCACCTCCACAAAGAGATCTGCTATGGGCAGCTAGCTCATCAGTTGAAAGGAAGTTTCCTCGGGTGTGTGGCCTACTTCCAATATACTGGACACTTGAGCTTGCTTGCTTGCTTTTTGCTGGGTTTGGAGCCTACATCGGGCTCCTCATGTGACCTCTGATTCTTTGACGTGAGCCAGTGCCCTGCTGGCTTGCCTGTCAATCCTGGGAATTATCAGTAGCTTACCATTTTACCTGCCACCCTTGAATCAATTTGTGCCTGTAGTCAGAAGCCTGTCGTCTGACCAGCCAACATTGGCTTCATCAGCTCCTGTAGCAGTGAGTCGGAAGCCTCCAGCCTGACCTCTGACCCATGGACTTAGAACCTGCCCGCCTCTACAACGGTATTAGCCATTTCCCTGATACAAACTTGATTTTTTATAGATTTATAAGCTTCACTGGTTTTGCTTCTCTGGAGAATCAAACTAAGCTCACTTTCAATTATTTTAAGGAAAATGGATTAAGATGGAAAATTATTTCTAACTATCAAAGAAACACATTACAGAAAGTTTGAAGACTAGGGAAAAGAGGTACATGCCAACAATTTGAACAGTCTAAAACCCCAGTATCCTGGTTCTATTTAGTGGGTGACCCATCCTTAGGATGATGATGGTAATCTTCACTTGCCTCGTCCTTGTCCGGGATCTGACTTTAGCTGCTCAGTGGCCAATTCTCTGTCCTTTACAGTGTTGTTCACGCCTCATTTCTTGACTGATCTTCCGTCTGGTTGTGCTAGCTGTTACCAAACTTCAGTGGCCACACACAATTAGGTAGGGTAGTGCTGTTTCCAACTATTAGTGTGTAACTCTGTTTCTCCTTCAAGTCTGTCAATTTTTGATTCACACATTTTGGGGCTCCATTGAGACCAGTAAGGCAGGGAAAGTGAAATGGCATTTAAAGTGCTAAAATAAAAAATTAAATCAAGAATTCTTTATCTTTTAGTAGCACAGTGCTAACTGAAAGGATGGCAATTTGAACCTACCAGTCACTTTCTGGGAGAAACATTTGGCAGTCTGCTCCTATAAAGATTACACCCTTGTTTATGAATCATTTTCCTAATTTTTAGTTCTTTGCTCCTGGTTTTATTTAGACAGTTGACTTAACATCTTTGACTAGTAATTCCAATGTCAAGGACTTCTCAGGGATAGTTTCTATCAAATAATTTCTTTTCTATGAATGAGCATATTTTCCTGTTTATTTGTATGTCTTGTCATCTTTTGGGGAGAACTGGACACTCTAGGTATTATCATGTGGTAGCTCTCGAAATCGTATTTTCCCATTCAGGAAATACTGTTGTTCCTTAATGCGGGTTCAGTCATCTGTCTTAATGACTTTTTCCAAACTATTCTTGCAAAGTATGTATTCTAATTGTGTGTGGCCACTGAAGTTTTGTTATCTCTAAAGTCAGAGAGCAGGCTGATAGATTCCATTTCCTCCTCCTGAAAAAAACGCATGCTGGACCTTTAAGCTGTTGCCACTCCTGTGAAGGGGGCGAAAACGGCAGCAAATTTCTGCAGTGATTCCTTAAGACACTGTCAGACCACCCAAGCATGCAACCCCAAATCCTCGCAGGACAGCGTCCCCACTGCCTGCCCAAGCACCAGCCACCCAATTTGGAATCCAGCTGCAGTCTCCACTGTGGAGGGGTTAAAGAATGGAGGACGGTGCCACATGGTGCACATGACTCCCCTTCATTAGGTACTCTTGTGATTGGTATAAGAGCCTGTTCAGATTTCAGAGGCTCCTTCCAGTTAGAGTTGTTGTATTGAGAGAGCTTCCTACACACCATGTTACATTCAGTAATCTATTCTTTTCTTTTTGTTACAAAACTTCTGCCTTTACAATTGTGACAGTTGCAATTAGTCATCATAACAATTATTCACTATTGAATCAGTAATCTAGTCTTAGATCCTTATTAATTATCAAGCTTTTGTTTTGTTAGGTCCTTTGAGTTTTTTATATTATTATAGTCAAAACATCTAAAAATAGAACAATATCAACACATAATAGCGGTAAGCAGGCTTTCTTGTGTTTCACCACTATTATTATTTCATAGACCTAAGATCCTACAATATCCACCCTTTTGGACCTGATTTATTTCTCTTAGCATGTTTTCAAGGTTCATCAATATCACAGCATGTACTAGAACTTCATTTCTCTTTATGGAATGAAAAAGATCCCACTGTATGTATGTTATCATTTCTCTTTACGGACTGAAAAAGATCCCACTGTATGTATTTTGTTTATCCATTTACACCTTGATGGACATATGGGCTAGTTCCACTTTGGGGTCATTATGTTTCCATGAATACTGTATGCACTATGTACATTATATATGTAGAGATGTTTTCATGTCTCTTGGGGATATATCTAGGAGTGCAATCACCAGGGACTATGGCAGTTCCAAATTTAACATCTTGAGAAACTGTCATAAGTTCCCGAGTAGCTGTACCATTTTACATTCCCACTTTCTCCACATTCTCACTAACGGGTGTTATTATCTGTTTTTATGATTATAACTGTAGTAGTGGGTGTGGAGTGGTAGCTCATTGTAGTTTTTCTCTTAATTCACTATGTTGAGCATTTCCTCTTGTGCTTATTAGACATTTATACAGATGTTCTTTAAAGAATTCCAATTTATCAATTTCTTTCCAAATAGTGCTTTTGGTATTGTATCTAAGAACTCTACACAATGGAAGGACTCAAAGATTTCCTTCTATATTTTCTTATAAAATTTATAAACGCTAAGTTTCATAGCTTAGCTTTTATATTTAGGTGTATGATTCATTCTGAGTTACTTTTTATGTCTGATGTGAGGTAGGGGTCTAAATTATTCTTTTTTTCAAGGATTTCTAGCTGTTTCAAGCACAATGTGTTTTCTCCATTGTCTCTGTCAAAAAACCAATTGGACAGAAATGGAAGGGTTTAATTCTGGACCTTCAATGCGATGGTATTGCTCTGCATGTCTATACTTTAGCCAGGACCGCTGTCTGGGTAACTCTAGCTTTGCAGCAAAGTTCTGAAACTGAGAATGAAGTCTAAGCCCTCCAACTTTGTTCTGCCTTTTTTGGGGCCATCTGAAAGTCTGCTAGGAATTTTTGCTTATATGGATTAGTTTGGGGAAACACTAGTATTTTTGCTAATCAAACTAAGAAGGAACAATAACACAGGGAAGGTGCCTGTACCAAAGTGCTCTGCTTATATGACAAAAGCATGTTTTCAAAAAGGTAACAGTCAAGAAGCACAAGAAACAGCCTTAAACTCTACTGTGGTTTTGTTAGAAAGAAACAGTCCTGAACTTTTGGAGACATATACTGAAATATTTATGCATAAAATGGTATGCCTGACAACTGCTCCCACATAATCTGGGTGTAGGGAGACACTGTGCTGAACAACTGCTGGAAAGAAACAGGTGGAGGCAGAGGGAGCCAATGCAGTCTTCTCTCTAGCTTTGTATGTTTTAATTTTTCATAACAAAATACTAAACAAAAAAACAGTAACAGTTTAGTGTCAAATCATAGCATTACTGCCAGGTTTTACTCCCAAAATTAACACGATGGTCTAAAATAATCTGTTCATGAGATTTCCAAACTCACCATTCTGTAATATACTCACCAGTAATTGCCCCATTCAATCATGGTTCCGGGCTGAAAGAGATTTGGATTTTGGTTTGTTAACTTGTTTTGTGAAGAAATATAGCAGTGTGAAAAAAAAATGTATATGTTTATATTGAGTGAAAGAGACAAATTTAAAATGTGACTTCTGGTGATGTGAGAAATAAAATAGTATTATTCACTATGTTTATGTATATTCCATGCTGGGAGTAAATTCTACAGTTCAGTGTAGCAGACAATGCATGCATACATAAGCTATCTCATTATAGTTAGAAAATCCAGTTAGACTACCCTTCAGATGCACTGAGTCATAATTAAATGTGTGCATCCATTCAGATTTGATTGTGACATTAATGAAAAATTCAAGTAAAATCAACAAGGACATAATGCTATCTCCCCCAGTAAAAACATCACTGAGATTTACAGCCAATTCTTTTTAAATGCTGCAATCTGGAGTTGAGTTTTTTTTAGTACTGTATGATGGTCACAATGTTTGTTAGTTGTGCCACTTGGATTACAACTGACGCTACACTGTACCTAGTCCTGAATTTTAGATCTTTCCTCTTAAAAATAGGAATGTTACACAGAAAGATATCAAGTAATGAACAATATACATCAGACTACAAAAAACTGTAAGAGCTTAGAAGAGAAGGAATAAGAAAGAAAAAAGAAACCGAAGATAAGAAAAGGACTGCAGGGGAGGAAAGAAGCCAAATCGAAATACAATGCTAAACCCACATGACAAGAGTATACACTTGTGTTTAATTGTCAGCATTAGTGGGTGCTCATGCTCCTGTATGTAAAAGAGAGGGCCATGTTCTCGTAGATCAGTACTTACTCGGAGTTGGTAGGACCTGAGTTCATATATATTAGGTCCTGCCCGAGGGGCAGGCTCATTCCAGAAACTGAACTCCAATAGCAGCTGATTCCTCCTAGAGAGGAGCATGTTGCTTCTTGCTTTACGGAATTCCACAAATTCCTTTGGGGGAAAAAAACGTGCTTATCAAGTCTTCCATACTTATATAGAAACACACTTTAGTAACATTTCTCTTACTGTTGATTGTACAGGCTATAACACAACACCATCGTCAATAACCAGTTGCTGTCGAGTTGATCCCAATTCAAGACACCCCAAGCATGCTCCTCCATAGGGTTTTCAATGGTGGATTTTTCAGAAGTAGATTACCAGGGCTTTTGGACTTGAACTCCTAACCTTAACAGCGTTAGCAGCTGAGTATATTCATTCTACCGAAGGACTCCCTGTTATAAACGGGGTAATCAATAGGTTCCCACAGGCCTGGGATAGTTCCATTCTCCATCTGTTGAACCCACATAATGGCAGCCTAACAGCATCCGCTTTCACTCTCAAGTGTCCAGGTTCCGAGGACAAACAGTGGTCATCCTAACTATAATCATTTAAATGGCAATGGAAACAAATTTCATTTGCTGTGTTTCTTGATTCTTCTAACAGAGTTTGACAGTGGTAACAAAGACAATAAAAACAGCAGAGTTTCCAAAAGTCACTTATATCTGTACTGGGATCAACCATAAAACATTTTCTTTCCTAGTGATGTATGGCTTGGATTGTGAATATCCTCTCTACTTTTATGCACTTAATAGTGAAGTGAGGGCTTGGCATAGCAAGGTCAGACCAAGGTAAAAAACAAAACAACCAAACAAGTGGTTGGCAATTCTTATAGGTATTCTGGGGCTAACTGTGCCTGTCCCGAGGACTTAACTCATTTCAAAGGGCCAGCTTACCAGTTTCAAAGTACCACTGACTTTGACAATGAGAACTCGAATTTCAGTAGTACAGCAACTGGCTACTTGATGTTCAAATGCAATACCCAAGTCCAAAGAATTAAATTTTCACTACTTAAAAAAAACAACAAAGGAAATAAAAACTGATGACAGAAAAGAGCCATTTGATTCTACCATACATAGAGCATTGCATTTGAGTTGATTCTGGCTTTGAGTGGCTATTCTGTACAAACACGTACTAATTAACCAGTCTGAGAAAGTCAACATGTTTTCAAAATCATTACCTGATTTTCTCTGAGTTTATTCATCACCTCTGTGAGGGCTGGGTAGCCTCCTTCATACCTCCAGAGATGGACTGAAATACATTTGAAAAGAGAGCACACATTAGAGTTTCTTGAGACTATTTAGATACAAGTAATATTAACATACTATTCACATGCCATGTGCTGGCTTATGAACTATACCATAAAGTTTCAATAATAAATTCAAGCAATGAAAAAATTCATTTCTGAATGAATTACACGAGAATGACTTTAACCACAACACTAGACTGAGACTTGGAAAGTTCTACTGACAATAATTCATTCAGTCAGAAAACGACTTCAGTGGTTACAATGAAGGTTTAAAGAACAAGTGTTTATTCCAAAGACTTCTGCTTCCTACCAGCTTGATCCTGCTCGCCATACCACGTGTTCCAAGTCCCCACCAAAGTACAAGGGTAATGTTTATCTTCGTGAATCTTTGGCAACACCTCTTGACTTAAAGAGAAGAAACAGCACACTCATTAAACAGCCAGCAAAACTTGACTAGATCGTCAACATGCACTCAGTCCTAGGAACAGGCTGCCTACTCTCTTCTGGCAACTGACTTCGGGATCTATTTACCATAAAACAATGTGCACAGTTAACTTGCTGCCTGGATCCTGTTAACACTATAACATGCTACTTATCAGAAGCTTCCATTTCTGATACCCCAACTATCTAGGTCAGTAGTTGTAAGCAATTTTAGCAGCACTAGTGATAAAAATGATTAGGAGTCCCAAGATTCTAGAAGATAGGGGTCTACTGCCGGCCATTTCACAACAACAACAACAAAAAGGAAGTACTAAAGAATGGTGATGCTTGGAAAAGCTACGTGCTGCTGGCTCCAAAGATAGGAAGAATGGGAGAAATGGGAATAGAAAAAAAGAACCCGGAAGAAATAAGAAAGAGGGAAAAGGAGCAGAGTAAAGCTTCACAAAGGGGCAGACAACAGAAGCAGCACCAGCTGCCTTTACAGGAGGAGGAGGAAGAGAAAGCCAGAAGGCAACACAATCTGGAGGCAACTCCAAGTCTGGCAGTTCCAAAGGGAATCCGTGCATCAAAAATTAAAAATGCAGAATGAAGCATGTTAGGTTATACCCAATTCAAGCAGCTGCAGGGACTTGGGACATAGCAGAGTCCCACACTGCATGTACCACCCAGTTTACCCCGCAGCTTGTGTATGCACAGTGGCAAAGCCAAGTCATGAGTTTATTAGTAAAACAGAGGTGTTGGCTCAGCGCATGATTTCACAGACACTTCTTCCTGTGGTATATGTTCTAATGACCAGGCAAAGGCAGAGGGAAGACGGAAAGCTATGTCATATCAGAAAAATCTCCTATGAAGAGAAAGCTAAAACCTGCATGGTTTTGGAAGAAGAATAGGAAAATTATCACCAAAAAATATACAATGGTGATTCAACAACGGAATCCAAAGGACGCTGAGGCTCAGAAATGGAACCTCTTCAACTTATTTACTACCCTTGGGTGAAACTCAGCTAGTGGACAATGCCAGATGCTGGGGTGCCAAGAATAAGTATATGTGAATACACTGAATGGCTTGCTAACTATTATTATGACCCAGAACAGTGACCACAGAGCCCTTGGGTTGTGCAAATAGTTCATGCACTTGGCTGCAAACAGGTAGGAAGTGTGAATTTACCCAGAGGTACCCTGGAAGAAAGATCAAGCCTTCCATTTCTGAAAAACCAAACACTGAAAACTCTATGGAACATAATTCTATTATGACACACATGGGATCACCCTGAGTTGACAGTGACTTGATGGTAACAGGTAACTGGGGGTACAACAGCCACACCATTAGTATTTTTTGAAGGGTGGTATTTATTTTTTAAATACCGAATATTGAATGTATCTGATGCATAACCCATGAATGTCCAGAACAGCATGAGATAGGTAGACTTGAAAACATTAGATTGGAAGAGGGTGGATGGAAACAACACGGAAATGAGAATCCTTTGGATCACAGAATATGAGCAGGGAGCAAACATCCCTGACCTGGAGCCATTGAGGAGTAGGAAGCCGGCACAGGTGACCGGAGCAGGGCCTGGAGAGAAGCTGGGGGTCTGACTATGGGTCCAAGGCTGCTCATCAGTGTAACATCATGGGTAGATTCCTAGCCAAGCTCTTGTGCTGGAGGCTCCAAACCTGCTCTTGGAAGCCCTGGACCACCCTGAGTGGAGGCTGTAAAGTAGGTAAGTTCCTTATACTGGTGGGTTGGGCAGAACCTCATTACAGGGGTGTGCTGAAAACTTTAGGGAAAGAGCAAGGATGGGAAAGGAGAATACACCCTCAATAAGATCTGATAAGCTTTGGACTGATGGACTACAGGGTGGAAGGGGCATCTGGGAGCTCAGAGAAGTCAGAAAGGAAACTATTTGGGAACGGGTCTGAATAGGCTGTAACAGAGGTGGAGAAGGAAACAAGCAAAGAACTTCATGTGTGGCACATGAAGAACACACAGTGCTTAGTGACTAAACACAAGAATTAAGCAGAGTTCAATATAAGGGGCCTTCAAACAGTTCATGGAGAAATGGAATGGACAGAGAATAGAATTTCCCCACAAGCTTTTAAAAGCCCCCTTGTAAAGAAAACATGGTGAAGAACACAGGAAGGGAAGCTGGGAGGAGGAGGAGGTGACTCTACACGTTGAGTTGGAAGCAATAGTAGGACAGTCAAATAGAACTATGTGACAGATAACCAGACATCCAGCCTGGAGATGACATGATAGAAACAGGACAGGGACAATCATCGGGGGGAAATCAGCTGACAGGAAAGTCCTCACTTTATGAGAAAAGAGTTAAGAGATAATTATCTGTTTTATTCTAAACCATTTTTCAATAAGAAGAAACGGGCAGAGATATATAAGAAATTCAATGCCAATGGTACATTTCACGAACCAACCTTTTGTATGGTTGTTTACAAAACAACCATAAAACTATAAAAGGTGTGTGGTTTTGAAGAGATTTCAGGGTCAACTCTGATGACTAAGTCACTTGCCTTCTCAGGAGAAGGGCTGAAATTAAAGGTGAAAACATCTTTGTCGTTTTGTTTTCTTACAAGTGGTTATTATGAAAATCCTAATGCGTGATGTAACAAAGAACTGATGAGCTTAATTCTGACTTTAGTCTCCAAGTTGGCATATTCCGTAAGAGCTGTGGTCCCTTGTATCAAAGGAGGGCCAGTTGAAGTGACTTGGGCCCTGGAGAATGGAAGGCCTTGGGAAGAAACGGCAGTTGTGTTCAAACACATACAGAACTTTACTGAGGAGTAAAACTGGAAACAAGGGAAATCTCGGGGGTGTGATTTCTGATTCCTAACACTTAGAGGTGACCAGAGATGGGATGTATTTAGGTGCCGGTGATCAGGAAGGCCTGGAGGATTGGATGGGTCGGATGGTCTTGCAAGATTCCTTCCAACCTCAAGAGACAACTCATTTCCTAAAGCCATGATCACCTATGTGACGGCTTAGCTGTGTGAGAGCTTTTGACCAAAGTGTCCTTGGCAGTCAATCCCACACATAGTTCCATTACAGAGCTCGCTTTCTGCTAACTGTTAGCTGAATCACCAAACACTAAACTCATTCTTTCCCCAAGTAAAGGATAGCTTGGTATACACACCAAATTTTGTTGTATGCGTCTAGGCAATCCGGTTTAACATTGTGAACTGAAACAAAAGAAAATCCAGCGATGAACTTATGAACAAAGGGAAAGGGCATCAAGCATGAAGAGGGCACCCCCACACTCACACTGCAGTTTGTACAGGCTGCTCGTTTCCTTTTTGGCCAGGAGGTTGGAGTGAGCATCTTTTCTTGGATCAACTTTTCTGACGAATAAGGACTTTAACCAGCTGTCTTCTCGGGCTCTGATGCTGGAGGATGCCAGTCCCCTGAGAAATAGCAAACACAATCCTTTGAGTCCATAGCAAGGTACAGAGATGTCGGGGTCTTTAGGTAATGCCACGCAGTCTAGTGTTTCCAGAAAGCCATCTATCTACCAACACCCATGAGGCACAGAGTCCAGGCCCAATTCTAGAACCTTCCATAAATATCACAAATGTTCAGTTCTATTCCATTAGCACAGTGTGTGCCCTGTCAGCAGCAGCAGGGTACCGTGTAAAGGAAGGAGCTTGCAGCACTCTTAACCAGGTACCATGTCACTCTTAGCAACTTGAACTACGGGCTTCCCCTTCTCCAAAGCAATGTGGGACATGGGGGGCGGGGAGCAAGGTATAGGAAACAAATTCGCTGTTTAAAACATGATTTCATAGGTGGTCTGGGATGGTGGCATGGTCAAGCGCCTCATAATATCTCTCTTATAACAAAACCCTGAGAAAACACATGACTGGGATTCAAATGACAACTGTGGAACCCTGTACATCAAAGACAAGACTGAAGAATCAGACCGAGCGCCATGTGGCAGGGCAGAGTGTACAAAACCAGTGGGCACGGAGAACTCTAGATCACCCGTGCCCTGCCAGGTGAGCCCACACAGCACGGCCATGCTGAGACAAAGCAAGCAGTGCTCTAACCGAAGCAGGAGCAACTGCACATCCAGAGCCAGGTATGCTCCCTACCCTATGAAATGAAGTGTACTCACTTCACCCACCGTGCACCCCCAAGACCCCATTTCAGAGGTCCATAGGCCTGTGGCACCCCTCATCCATTCCTCAGAACACAGCTGCGATCCTGGGGTACCCACTGCGGTCATGCTCCTTGAGCCAGGGACATATGGGCTGGAGGCGGCCACTCCTACATCCAGCCACCTGCACACTGGGGGCACCCACTGCTCTGTGCAGCTACTAGCACTGGGGCCTGTGAACCTGAAGGGCCTGCTCCCAGCCACCCCTACTGGGGGCCTTAAAGAACAGTGGTGCCTCCTACTCCCTTAGCCACCTGCAATGAAGACCAGCGGGTACACCTTCCCCTGTACTATATACTAGAGGCCAGGGCTTGCCCTCCGAGTGGACACCCATGGACTGGTGGCCTCCCTCCTGCCTCGGCCCCCACACCTAGAGACTTGTGTCTGACCACACACCACACAGCCCTGCCTGCTAAGGACTGCTAGTGCATTTCTATACTACCAGCAGGTGATTACTCACCCAGGCATCCCCAGCCAACCACTGGCAACCAACAGTGCCCACATACAACACTCAAACCAATGGTCAGTTAGAACCTCCCTCTGCCCAGGTGACCAGTCAGACAGACCCTTTCCCTCATGAGCATCACCAATTACCTCCATAATTAGCCTCAAAACCAGAGAATAGAAACCCATCATCATACACTCAGCCACTAAGCCATCCTCGTGGAAACAGACGGTAAAAGCTTCCAAGTGTCCTGTCCACTCGGAGAGATCAAAACAATACAAAAAGTCAGGATGCAGCAGAAAGGCACACAATACACCTTAATGCCTCGGAGAGAGCACACAATATCAAGCTACAATAAGAAGCGAGACAAGATGGTTCCAGTATGTGGCCAAAATAAAGAACCAGAAAACCTTCTAGAGGAAGAAATGATCATGGAACTCTGTGATGAGACATTCAAAAGACTAGTATGTATAATTCTCCAAGAGGTCAAGAAAGAGATCATGGAAAACACGGATAAAACCGAGGACAACACAAAGTGATACAAGAATTCAGGGATACAATACAAGAACAAAATGACAAAGCAAATATACAATTTGAAACTGTACAAAAATATCAACTAAGTCTAAAAGATTAACAATAAAATTTCAGAAATAGACAACTCAATAGAAGGATATAGGGACAGAAATGAATCAATGGGAGACAGAATCAGTAAAACAGAGGGAAAATCCCTTGATTTTTTAAGGAAAAATCAGGGGGTGGGGGGAGGAAGAAATCCAAAGATTTATGTGGGACACAATCAACAGGAAATATTTACATGTAATCAGATTTCCAAAGCAGGAGGACACCAAAAAAAGAAATAATGAAAGAAAGAAACAGAACTGTGTGGATAGATCTTCCCCCCCCCCGACCCCCAAAGAAAGTCACCAAAACATATCATAATTTTGACACTTAAGATTTTATGTCAACTTGACTGGGCCAGAATTCACAGTGGTTTGGCAGTTAATCATAATATATTAGATCTCATCATAAATCCCCTATGATAAAATCTAATATAATACAATCAACTGATTCATGAGAGTTGTTATGAGCAACCAATCAACTGAAAGAATGTTTCCTCAGGAGTGTGGCCTGCTTCCAACATATTGGACACTCAGGCAAAACTTGCTTGCTTTCTGCTGGGTCTACTTTCTGTATCTGGCTCCTCACATGACTTATGATTCTTTGGACTTGAGCCAGCGATCTGCTCCAGACTTGCCTGCTGATCCTAGGAGTTGTCAGTAGTGTGCCACCTTACTTGCCAACCTTGGATTTGTTAGCCTCTACAGCCAAAAACTTGCCATGTATGTTGTTGTTTGCCACCAAGTCAGTTCCAACTCATAGCAACCCTATGTTGGGTTTCAGAGAGTGGCTGGTGGGTCTGAACTGCTGACCTTGTGGTCAATCAGTTCAGTGTTTATTTTACAGTGCCACAACAGGGCTCTTATATATCACATTGAATGTAAACGGTTGAAATGTATACCAGTAAAATACATAATACATGGCAGAATGTATTAAAACAAAATAAAACGAAAACGACCTATTGATATGCTGTCTACAAGAGACACCTTAGACACAAAGACATATAAACTGCAATTCAAAGGATGGAAAAGTGTATTACACAAACAATAACCAAAAAAAAAAGCAGGAGTGGTAATATTAATCTCTGACAAAATAGACTTTAAGGAAAATCCATCATAAAAGATAAGACAAGGAAGGACATCATATAATGATTAAAAGGCCAATCCCCCACAGTCATATGTCATACTATAAAAGATACATATGCACCCAATGAATGATTGTTGTTGTTGTTGTTGTTAAGTGCCATCGAGTCGGGTCCGACCCATAGCGACCCTGTACAGGGTTTCCGAGGGTGTAAATCTTTACGGGAGTAGAAA